AATAAACTGCAACCTTCTTTCTAAAGCAGTCCCCATATTGTTTATCCCCGGCTTGCACTGAACCACAATGAAGACCTTTCCTTCAATAGATCAAAGAGAGAAGCAAGCTGGAATTAAGGAGAAACTTCCTGACAGTGAGGACAATCAACCAGTGGAACAGCTTGCCTCCAGAAATCATGGGTGCTCCATTACTGGAAATTTTCAAGAAGAGCTGCTAGATAGTCACTTATCTGAAATGATATAGGTTCTCCTGCTTGAGCAGGGGGCTGGATTAGAAGACCTCCAAGGTCCCTTCCACCTCTATTCTTTCTAAATGAAGAGCCGGGCACCAGGACCGAGAATGCAAGAGCCAGACGTTGTATTGTCTGTCTGACACTAGGCACCGAAGAATGAATCTCAGGGCTGGGAGGGACCTTGGAGGTCTTCTAGTCCAATCCCCCAGAGGCCCGAGGCAGGAGTCCTTATTCCATTCCAGATAAATGATTGTCCCATCTTTTCTTAAGAATCTCCAGCAATGAAGAACCCATGACTCTGGGATGCAAGCTGCTCCCTTGATCCATTGTTCTCACTGTCAGGAAATTGCTCCTCAGTTCTAGGTTGGATCTCCTCTGACTTCAGCTCCCAGAATTATCCCACTAGTCTGCTTTAAAATGGTTTAGGATCAAAGAATCCTAGGACTGGAAGGGACCTTGGAGGTCTTCCAGTCCAACCCCCTGCTCGTAGGAGACCTATACCATTCCAGAGATGTGATCGTCCAATCTCTTCTTAAGAACCTCCAGTGATGGAGCACCCAAAACTTCTGGAGACAAGCCCTTCTACTGATTAATTGGGGGAAGCACCAATGCCACCCCCCCTAGGGAAATGGAGATCCTGCCAATTCACTCCCCCTCATAAAAAAAACCCCAGTGTCTCCCAGTCAGCTTTCATGCCTAAGGGAGGCTTAGATCTCTGAGTTTCTAGATCAGCACCTGAACTACAACATCCAACTGGCTCTTTTATAATTCCTGGTGCATACCAGTGCATAGCTACCAGAATTCCTGGTGCATAACTCCCAGAATTCCTGGTGTATCTCCCAGAATTTCTGGTGCATAACTCTCAGAATACCTGGTGCATATTGGTGCACTGCTCCCAGAATTCCTGGTGCATCTCCCAGAATTTCTGGTACATAACTCCCAGAATTCCTGGTGCATATTGGTGCATAGCTCCCAGAATTCCTGATGCATCTCCCAGAATTCCTGGTGCATCTCCTAGAATTCCTGGTGCATACTGGTGCATAACTCCCAGAAATCCTGGTGCATACTGGTGTATAATTCTTGGTGTATACTGGTACATAACTCCCAGAATTCCTGGTGTGTACTGGTGCATAGCTCCCAGAATTCCTGATGCATCTCCCAGAATTCCTGGTGCATACTGGTCATAACTCCCAGAAATCCTGGTCCATACTGGTGCATAATTCTTGGTGTATACTGGTACATAACTCCCAGAATTCCTGGTGCATAGCTCCCAGAATTCCTGGTGCATCTCCTAGAATTCCTGGTGCATACTGATGCATAACTCCCAAAAATCCTGGTGCATACTGGTGTATAATTCTTGGTGTATACTGGTACATAACTCCCATAATTCCTGGTGCATAACTCCCAGAAGCACAAAACAAAACTTGCAAACTTTGAGTCAGCCACTTTTTGTTCAACCCAGAACCACCATTGCCCCCACCAGATTGTGAAAGCAGCCACAGAGCTGAAAGGTAACTGGAGCAGCCAGTGGTATCCATTTTCTTGAAGGTAGGGAGATCACTTCTGCCCTGACAGAGGCAATAGTGAAGCCCTTCCTGAAGGAGCCTTCACTGCGCCCCCCCCCCCAGTACTGGATCACTATTGTCTAGTTTCCAACTGTCTCTTTTTGCTTGGTATGGTATGGTATGGTATGGTATGATGTTATGATATGATATGATAATATTATGCTATGCTATGCTATGCTATACTATACTATATTATATTATATTATATATTGTCTATTCTGTTCTGTTCTGTTCTATATTCTATCCTATCCTATCCTTCTTTTACGGCTGTGAGCTGGACGCAGGACACTCACCGATGTCTCACCAGCACAAAGCAGAATTATGGCAGTCAAATCTCCTACAGCTGGATACTTATTTCTGTTGGCCTTTTGGCTGCCGCATCACCCTGCTTGCTCATTCTCAGCTGGTGGTCTGCTAGTCATCCTCCCCACAGTGCCCCCCCCACCCATGAAGTTGCCTTCCCATGCCAATTCCTCCCCAGGAGCTGTTAAAATCATCCTACTTGATTTGGCTCAATGATGAAGTCCTCTGAGGTCATTTTGAGCCATGATTTGTGTCCTCTGTGGTATTTTCCAGTTCCACTAAGGGGATCGGCACTTCTCCATTCCGTCCTCTGTGTCAGGCCAAAAGAGGCTAAATCACCTGGGCCAAGAATGGAACCCTGGGGGGGGGGTGACCTACTGACCGTAGTCCTTTCCTCTGGGACAACACAGAACCCCCGAAAAGCCCCTTCGGGGGTTCCACCACTTGCAACGCTTCTGGCCTGACTCACCCCTCAGCCCTGGATGTTTTCCTTGGAGGAAGCTGCAAGGAAAGCATCCCAGGCAGAGAAGCTGCCCTATAAGGAGAAGATAGGGAGGCCATAGCCACGCATGCGGGGGGGGGGGGCTTGCTCGGGGTGGGAATGACATTAGAGCGGCACAGATCTGGGAAGATTTTTTTTCCTCTCCTCTCCTGTCATCATCCATTAGAGATATTTTTCAGCCCAGCGGAGAGCAGAGGCAGGTGATGGGATCTGCTGCCAGAAGGGTTCGTTGGCCAGGGAAGGCAAGAAGGCCTTTTGGAGTTCGGGAGGTTAAGCCAGGTCCATCTGCCTCTCCCAAAATTGACAGTGTGGTCCTGAGAGAGTCTAGGCCAGGGGTAGGCAACCTTGGCTCTTTTATGACTCTGGACTTCAACTCCCAGAATTCCTGATCCAGAATGGCTCAGCTTGAAAACCTTTCCCTTTCCCCTCAGCATGGCTGGCTCAGGAATTCTGGGAGTTGAAGTCCACCAGTCATAAAAGAGCCAAGGATGCCTACCCCTGGTCTAGGGCTACTCACAGTGGCCAATGTACCACGGGACATCTTGCCACAGGACAATTCAACGCTCTATAAATCATTTCATTCAGTTATTTTTATTATCAGTGGCGAAATTATTGTTAACTCTTTGTAATTCTGGACTGACATATTTATTTTATGATTATTGGCCATAGTTCGGTTGAAATTAATTTCACTTTTGCATTGGTTGCATTGTCCTGTGGCACACTGACCCAGTCCGTTCCTGAGAAATGATTGGAAGGCCGAGGGAGAGGCCCTGGACCCACTCCCTGCTTCGAAACCAAACCACAGCACAGCCCTGAGAGGCAGCCCGGAGGGGCCCCTACCCCCCTCTGTGGGACTGCATAGAAGAGAAGACTGGGCCTAGGTCAGGGGTAGGCAACTTTGGCTCTTTTATGACTCGTGGACTTCTACTCCCAGAATTCCTGAGCCACCATGGCTGTTGGAAACCTCTCCCTTTTCCCTCAGCATGGCTGACTCAGGAATTCTGGGAGTTGAAGTCCACGAGTCATAAAACAGCCAGGGTTGCTTACCTACGTCCTCAACCTACGACCTCAACTTACGACCGCATTTGAGCCAAAAATTTCTGAGGCTAAGCAAGACCATTGTTAAATGAATTTTGCTCCATTATATGACCTTTCTTGCCATAGTTGTTAAGCAAATCACGGCAGTTGTTAAGTTAGGAATATGGTTGTTAAGTGAATCTGGCTTCCCCATTGACTTTGCTTGTCAGAAGGTCGCAAAAGGGGATCACGTGATTCCGGGACACTGCGACCGCCATAAATATCAATCAGTTGCCAAACATTTGAATTTTGATCACGTGACCGTGAGGATGCTGCAACCGTCTTAAGTGTGAAAAACGGTCATAAGTCACTTTTTTTAGAGCTGTTTGAACTGTCATTAAACGAACCGTTGTAAGTCAAGGACTGCCTGTACTTCGCAAAAGTAATGTGGGAAAGAAATAGAATAACATAGAATAAAGAAGAATAAAGTATAATAATAATAATGAAAAATCACTAAAAGCAAAAATCATGTGTCTGCATTATCTCTGAAAAGAAAGCTGTGTTAGCCAAAAGCTGTATTAACAGTACGTGAATGACCTAATGCGTATTTAGAAACATTGTTTAAAAGTAAAAACTGCCTTCATTGTATTCCCATGAGAAATGGACCTAACGTGTGAGAAACTATCTGAATGTTACACAAAGTAGATTCCATATACAATGTAAGATTCCATCTATGCTTCCTTTGTTCCTGAGAAAAAGAAACCTATAAAGCTTTAGTTTAGACCCTCCCCCTTGTTCAGAAATTTGTTGATTGTTAAATCACTTCTGAACCTTTTTGCGCAAAAATAAAGATCTCTCTTTCACCCATGGAATTTCGTAAAAGTCCTTATATTTTTAAGGCTTTATTTTTCCACAAGAAAAGCCTCCCAGGCTGGCACTTTCATGAGATAACTCACGGAGGGGGGACCAGGGCAGGGATAGGCAACCTTGGCTCTTTTATGACTCATGGACTTCAACTCCCAGAATTCCTGAGCCACCCATGCTGAGGGGAAAGGGAGAGGTTTCCAAGCTGAGCCATGCTGGCTCAGGAATTCTGGGAGTTGAAGTCCATGAGTCATAAAAGAGCCAAGGTTGCCTACCCCTGCGGGCCAAGATGTTTTGGAATGGGTGCCTTGCAGCTGGACAGTTGTGGGCCTGTGGCCCCATCTTTCAAAGGGCCCGACCAGCCCTTGTTTGTGGGCTGACAGCTGCCCCCCCTCACAAGACAGCCAGAGCCCCAATCCACCTGGGGGGGTCTTCCTCCATGGCTCCTGCAGACACACCAACCTCGCAAGACTGGGGGGGGGGGCATCCTGGAGTTTAACAGATGACACAACCCCCTATTTTTAAAATACTTTATTTTTTAAATAATAATACAGGACATTACAAAAGGAGGAATTGCAAAAAACTCTATAAAACCACCTGGGGTCTCCTTGAAATGGGGGAACCGCAGCAAGGCATAGCCCTCTCCACCCTCGTCGTCTCGGCCTGCCTGGTCAGCAGCCCACGTTGTTTTTTTTTTGCATTGTGAAAACACACACACATACACACATACTGGAGGCTGCAAAAAAAAAAAAGGCCTGGTCTGAACCATCCAGACAGCTGGCAAGTTCCAGGTGGCACCGCAGTTGCGTCATCTACCCCACATCATCGCACATTTACAGGAGGGCAGCGTTCGGGTCTGTACAACTATACAGGAAACGGCTGTGGACGGGGCCTCTGTCCGATCCCGAGTTCAGTCAAGCTTGTCTCCGCCACCCACCCCAAAGGAGGGTCAACCTGCTGGGCACCTTGGGAGGGAGGGACGGACAGAGGGGAACCAAAGGAAGCACCTCCATTTTCAGTCAGAGAAAATTCAGAATAAAAAGGACGGGTGGAAAGTCCCACCCAAAAGAGTCTTGACACAAGATTTTTAGCTTGGGAGGGAGGGAGAAGATGATTGAGTTGCTCCCTTGCAAAAGCACCTCCGGGCCCTTATATTCCCCTCCTCCCCCACCAGCACTGGCCCAAAGCACAACTTAATTGTCAAGGATAAGCAATGTTTCTTGAAAAATCTCCCCCTGAAAAGAGAAAAAAAGGCAGCCCCTGGACCCCCCCAGGACCCAGGCAGATCTCACGTCCCTCCGCCCACTTCCCAAGAGACACACAATGGCCACCCACCATCACTGCAGCCGCCAAGACTCCCTCCCAGCCTCCTGCAGGGTTCAGTGGCTGCCCTGTAGCCCCTCTCCCCTTCCTCAAGGAGCCATCCTGGGCTGCTCCCCACCAGCCCTTCCCCAGAATTCAGATGAAAAGCCAACACAGCCAAAAAGAGGTTAGTCCTCATGAAAGTTCTATTCGAATACAAGGAGGGTCCTTCTGTCCAAAGCACCCTTGAATGGCAGGTCCTTGTTGTGGCCCCAAACAGGGCCGTGCTTGCTGGAGGTTTATCGGGCCAACACCACAGGGTCTGTGTGCGCAGAAACAGAAGGTGAGCGGAGGGGGCCTTCTTAGTGCCAAACACAGGAGGGGGGGGTCCAGCTCCTGCTGTGTAGGACGAGGCTGGCTTTGCGATCCCCACCGTCTGCTCTAAGGAAGCGCAATCCGGAAAGAGCACAGGGAACAGAGAAAGAGGTGGTTCTATTTACAGGGCCCTGGTGTTCCTTGGCAAAATTTGGGGAGATCCTCCCCAGCTCTGGAGAAGGAAAGTCCCCAGGGAGTGGACCGGGCACCCCCGAGACTCACGCAAAGCTGGGACACCAAATCCAAAAACAGGACCTTGAAGGGAGCCATATTGCCAGAGGAGAGGGACAGGGCAGAGGGTGTCCCTTGCAATAGAGGACATGGCTTGCAGCAAGAGACAGGAGGATCTCCGGGCGACACCCAGGCCAGGTGCAACGCGGCTCGGGCACAGCATGACGTATTGCTGCTGCTCGAAGAGCAAGCTGGCTGGCAGAGAGGTGGGCGGGCAAGGCCCAGCTCAGCAGCTCTAGGAGCAGGGCAGGTGTTGCTTGAGGATCTGGCGGGTCTGGGGGGCTATTCTGTCAGGGAAGCGGACTTTGAACTCCACAATCAAGTCTCCGCGCTGGGAGGGCACCTTGGGGAAAGGCAGGCCCTCGCCCCGCAGCCGCTTCACAGTGCCTGGCTTGATGATGTCGCTGCAGGGCAGGGGGATCACGCGCCCATCCACCGTGGGGATGTTGACGGTGCAGCCGCACAGGGCCTGGAAGAGAAGAGGAGAGAACCAGCGTGAGATGGCTGTAGGGACAGCCAGAGTGGTCACTCGAGGTCATAAATGCCACTACATCAGGGGTGGGCAATGATAGCAACTTTAAGACCTGTGGACTTCAACTCCCAGGATTCCTCACAGCAACTTTAGGACCTGTGGACTTCAACACCCAGAATTCCTGATAGCAACGTTAGGACCTGTGGACCTCAACTCCCAGGATTCCTCACAGCAACTTTAGGATCTGTGGACTTCAACACCCAGAATTCCTGATAGCAACGTTAGGACCTGTGGACTTCAACACCCAGAATTCCTGAGCCAGCACAGCTGGCTCAGGAATTCTGGGTGTTGAAATCCACAGGTCCTAAAGTTGCTATCCTTGCCCAACCCTGACCATGCCATGCCAGCAGAAAGCTGACCTGCAGGAAAGCTAGAGCAGAGTTTCTGCAGGGCATCTTGGGGGCACCATCCTCAAGCTCTTCCAAGGCCAAGGCCTGGCAAGACCAAGTTGAGGATGAGTCTTGATGGCCTCCTGTAGCCCCAGGTCTTGGGTGACATAGGCAGAACTAGGGGGCAAGCCTTCTGTGGGCTCCACTGTTTGTCAGGGCAGGTGGTGGGCAGCCAGTGGCCTCTGCGGCTGGCAGTGCAGAAGCCCACCAGAGGCCTTCTCCCTTCTCCTGCCTGGGCTGACTTCCAGAAGTGGAAACTTTGGAGCGCTGCTACTCCTGCCAACTTCCACAAGGCCCAGGAGGGCCCAAACAGAACTAGGCTATTTTTGCCCACAGCTGACCCCATCAGCTGCCAAAAAGCGAGCACAGCTGTGATCCAGGTTGGGAAGGAAGAACAGTCCTAAGAGGTCATGGTCTGGAGTCCAGCTCGTCCCAAAGGCCCCCCCGAAGAGACTCACATGCAACAAACATGGGAGACCTGCCTCGACCACCTACTGGACTATCTTGAGGTCCTCAGCAAGATTAATCAACAGCAAACCCAAAACAGACAATACCACTATCCCCATTTCCCCACCACCCCCGGCTTCCATGTGATGGAATGTGGTCTGGATTCCAAGGAGGAAGGAAGTGCAGTCCGGAAGAGTAAGAGACAACTCAGTTCACAGAGAGTTTGCGTGAGAGAAAGAGGATGAAGACAGCTCCTTCCTAACAGTTCCTAGAGTACATCTTTATTGGTGCAAGTAGATTGTTTTACTTTGGCAAGATTCTGTCTATAGGTGAGGAACAATAAAGAAATCTACTTGGAAGAATCATAATGTGTCTTTCTAGGGTTTTTGGATCCTGACAGGGATTGATAAATTTATATAGGAGAAAGAGAGTGAAGGTGGTTCCTCCCTAACAGTTCCCAGACTACATGCTTTATGGTACAAACAGTCTACTTTAGTTTGGCAAGATTCTGTCTATAAGTGAGGAACGATCACGGAAACTGCTTCAGAGATTCTTTCTTGGTTTTTGGAACCCGACATCTCATTTCTGCACAAACAAAATGTCCTGAGGCTAAATCTGCTATCAAGAAAGGCCTTGGTCTCCTTCTTGCCTCCCATCGCCACGTTCAATTCTTCCTGCCCACCTCCCTTCAGCCACACACAGCAATTCCAATCTCAGCATCCGGATTAGGTAGGAAATCTCTTCCCTCCTAGCAGGGAGCCTTGCTTGTGGTCCAGCTAGCTCTGCCGGCTCATGAGGGCCGTTCTCCCTCTGGGCCATATGGCCAAATGCCATTGTACAGTAACAGCTGGCCAGCCGGCCTCCCGGCCACCTCAATTCCACACTTGTCTGAGCAAGACAAACTTGTGCCGTGCAGCCAAGCAGCAAGAGCTTGGAAGCACATACAGGTCGCAAGGAATCTGCTTCCAAAGGAGCTGAGTACTTGTTAATCTTTCTCGAGATTTACTCTTCCGCGTCACCCAGCCTCTCCCACTTCACTCGTCAGAAGGAGCTGGGGAATCCCTGAGCATACAAGGAGTTTGGGAGTGGAGAGCAGCTCAGGAGAAGGGGTTTTGCGTCTTTGGGTAACGGCAGAGAGCGCGGAGAAGAAACAGAGGCCAAGTGGCGGTCCCCAGCTGGAGGAGGGAGGGGCTGCGCTACAGGTAGTCTTCAACTTATAAGAGTTCATTCAGTGATGATTTAAAATTACAACGGCACCGAAAAAAGGGACTTACGACCATTTTTCACACTTACAACCATTGCAGCATCCCTATGGTCACATGATCCAAATTCAGATGTATTTATGACGGCCGCAGCATCCAGGGGTCATGTGATTCCCCCTTTTGTGCTGACAAGCAAAGTTAATGGGGAAGCCGGATTCACTTAACAAGTGTGTGACTAATTTAAGGACTGCAGTGACTCATTTAACTAATTTGGCAAGAAATGTCGTAAAACGGGGGCAAAACTCACTTAGCAAATGTCAGAAATGTGGGCTCTATTGTGGTCATAAGTCAAGGACTGCCTGTAGCCCACCCTCTTAATTTAAGGGGCTCCATTGACCCTCTCCTAAAAAGGCAAACGCCACCTCCCTTCCCTAGAGGTAGACCTGGGGGGGGGGGGATCCCACTGAGCCAGGAGCGCCCAGGTGGCAGGAACAGCGTCATCTCTCGCACACAAGTTGGAAAAAATCACAGTTGGCAATCTCTTTAGGAGCAGCCATTCACAATCTGGGCTTTTGAGCTCCCAGAACACACAGCAAACGGTGGAAAAGAGAACAGCCTGATGGTGAGGACAGCTTGCACACACTTGGCAACTGTTCCTTAGGGGGAGAGAGTACTTTTTTCTTAACACCAGTGTTACTTTGGTGGAAAGTAGGACCCAAAGAACTCTATCAGTTCCCTCTGAAGCAGTGGTTCTCAACCTATGGGTCGGGACCCCATTTGGGGTCGAACAACCATTTCACGGGGTTGCCAAACAACGCAGTCCGCCATTTTTCCCCCCTTTTCCTTAGCTGTGCTACTTCCTTTTATTCTATTGGCTTTTGAAAGCCAATAGAATAGACTCTCTTGAATAGAGTCTAATTCTATTGGCTTTCAAAAGCCAATAGGAATTGTCCAGGCTGTCTCTGCCCTGCTGAGCCCCCCAAAAGTCCCATTCTGCCAACGGTGCTGCACCAGTTGAGTAGTCCTTGACTTACGACTGGTTGAGTAGTCCTCGATTTACGACCGGTTGGGGGTCGCAGCATTAAAAAGGTTGAGAACCACTGCTCTGAAGTGTCTTTAAACAAAAGGAAGGGAGGCATTAATGTGCCATTACATGGGTGAGGACTCTTAGCCGAGAGAGAGAGAGGGAGGGAGAGAGAGAGAGAGAGGGAGGGAGAGAGAGAGAGGGAGGGAGAGGGAGAGAGAGAGAGAGAGAGAGGGAGGGAGAGAGAGGGAGGGAGGGAGAGGGAGCCTTCACGTACCCCTACCCTGCTTCTTTGCCTGCTCTTCCTCCTATATGTTGTAGGAGATGTATGAAGAAACTAAGGCACAGGAAAGCCAAAGGAGAGAGTCAGTTGCCCCCAACCTCAGCCCTCTTCAATTTGCATGAGTTCCGGCAACTTATTTATTCATATATCAAACTTCTTAACTGCCCATCTGCCTCACAATTTGGCCTCAGCGCCCCGTGTCCAAGAGAGAAGGTCCCCCCCCCCAGTCAAACCAAGGACCCACCTCTTTAAGACTGATCATGGCCACGTAGATGATGTTTGTCCCATCACGACGGAAATGAGTGTGTGGCTTGTCCTTCAGGATGAAGACGATGTCGGCTGGGATGTTGTCAGGGGTGGCATCTCCTTCCTTGGGGAAGGTGATCTTGGTGCCTTCCTTCCATCCTCGCTTGATGATGATGTTCAGGATCTTGTCCTCGCTCCGCATCGTTCGCCCGTCCGGGTTCAGCCGCCGGCGGGTGATCTTCATCCGCTTTGTGGCACCGTGGTAGATTTCTTCCAGAGAAACCTTGAGCTCGTGGATCACGGGGGGATCCTGCACCTTCCGGCGCATGTGGATGGGCTCCGGGTGCCGCCGATGGACCCCGTTGAGGCCATTGAACCCAAAACGGCTGAAAGCACTGAAGGGATCGTCGCTATCGTCGTCCACATCCATGCTGTCCTCGTGGTCAAAGCCGTTGAAGACCCTGGATCGGCTACTGCTGAAGAAGATGTCGAAGGGGTTGGAGCCCCCAAAGAAGGAGGCGAAGGTGGCGTGAGGGTCTCCATGGAAGGTGTAGTGGAAGGTGCTTCCAGAAGGTCCAGAGGGACCACCACCCGTTTTGAGTCCTGAAAGAGAAGAACCATCAGTGAAGGCCACAGGGAGCAGAGATGCTGCTTGGACCTGCAGCAAGAAGAGTCACAGGCTTGGCCTGCCAACAGTCCTCAAGATTCAGGGGCAGAAGCAGGGGCCCACACCTCAATTCTGCCCTCAAAACCTGGCCCTGCTCCAGCCCGTTTTGGGAGTTCAACCTGCTGTGGCCCTTGACCCCCAGGCTGCTCAGGCAGGAAAATGAGGAATGCACAAACTCCTGGGATGGCTGCACATCTAGCAAAAGTTGGAAGGGACTTTGGAGGTCTTCTAGTCCAGGGGTAGGCAACCTTGGCTCTTTTATGACTCGTGGACTTCAACTCCCAGAATTCCTGAGCCAGCATGGCTCAGCTTGGAAACCTCTCCCTTTTCCCTCAGCATGGCTGGCTCAGGAATTCTGGGAGTTGAAGTCCACAAGTCATAAAAGAGCCAAGGTTGCCTACCACTGCCCTAAAGAGAGGCCTGCAGGTAACAACTGCTGTGATTTGCTTAACAACTATGGCAGGAAAGGTCGTATAATGGGGCAAAATTCATTTAACAATGGTCTTGCTTAGCCACAGAAATTTTTGGCTCAAATGCGGTCGTAAGTTGAGGTCGTAGGTTGAGGACGTAGGTAAGCAACCCCAGCTGTTTTATGACTCGTGGACTTCAACTCCCAGAATTCTTGAGTCAGCCATGCTGAGGGAAAAGGGAGAGGTTTCCAACAGCCATGGTGGCTCAGGAATTTTGGGAGTAGAAGTCCCCGAGCCTGCAGGTAATCGCCCAGGCTTATGAGCCAGCCGTGGAGAAGAGACATTTGGCACTTGCCACAGGTCTTCACATGGGATATTGTTTTCTGACCTTTCTATACTCTAAAGCAGGGGTTGGCAGCCTTGGTGCTTTTATGACTCGTGGACTTCAACTCCCAGAATTCCTGAGCCAGCATGGCTCAGCTTGGAAGCCTCTCCCTTTCCCCTTAGCATGGCTGGCTCAGGAATTCTGGGAGTTGAAGTCCACGAGTCATAAAAGAGCCAAGGTTGCCTACCCTTGTCCTAGTCCAACCCCATGCCCAAGCAGAAGACCCTGTACCATTTCAGACAAATAGTTGTGTATCACTTGGCTGATCTCTCTCATTAGGTTTGTAACACTGGGGTTGAGATTAAACACTATGGGGCATCCACCCCATGGCCATCTCGGACAGGGGAGGCTGATCACGAGGGTCTAAGCACAGTCAGGCTCTCAGGAGGACCAGGTTCTGCAAGGACCAAGCCACCGGTCCGGCCCAGGTTAATTGAAGGGGAAGCTCGCCATCCCAGGGGTTTGTGCAACCCTCGTTTCCGTGCTCAATTTGGGGGTCCAGGTGGTCTTGCATGACAATCTCTGCTCAATTCCCAAAGAAGCCAGGTCAGAGTTCTCCTCCTTCTACATTTGCCCGGATGCAAGGAAGGACTCTCTCCATCTAAAGTTCTTGCTTTTTTAACATGTTCCTGTTGTCTTTCAGTTAGTTGAAAAACCTCAGAGACCTTGTGCCTTGAACAAGCATCCAGAAGACAAGCTGGAGCACCTGCATAAACGTTCTCTCCTTCCTACTCCTGGGGGGGGGGGCTCTCACCTCTGTAAGGCACCCCGATCCAAATCGTCCATGAAAAGGACTCAGCCCCAAAAGCAGAGGTGGAGGAAAGCAGCTGCAACAGAAAGACCAGCCCTGGCCCTCCTCCCAGCCCAGCTGCCTGTTAAAAATGGGAGGGGGGGGGGGTTGCTTCCCTCAGATTTTCAGGGTAGGCGTGGGGGCAGAAGGCCAGGAGGAAGGTTGAGGTCTGGGGCAGCAATTTCTGGATACTGTTTGAGCAGCTGCCCTACAGCTGTTGGCTTTTAATAAAAGTTCAGCAGCAGCCCCTGACCAAGGGGAGAGAGCTCAGCTAAAAGAGGGGAGGGGTAAAAGGAGGGGAGGGGGCTGCGACTAATATAAGGCTCCCACTTTGTGGCCAGAATGTTTCCACCACCACCCCTCCCCCAAGGCGGGCATTCTCTGATTAATAGGCTAAATTAGGATGGAAGGGGCATGTTCTCCCTTCAACTCTAAGGTCTTGTTGATTTAATTCCTCCAAGAGAGAAACATGTGAATGGATTTCCCCTCCTCCCTTCCCCCCTCTCTCCCCCCCCCCAATCTTCGGGGACCTCACTTTGCTTCCTAGGACCAGCAACAGGAGCAATCCGGCCTTGTCAGTCACTGCTCTGACATAATTAGAAGGCGCATTCAGAGATGAGACCAAAGAGCTTTTATTTTTAGACCCTGCGGGAAGCTGGAGCCCCCCCCCCAAACTTCTCCAAGGAACAGGCCAACTCTGCTTGCCCTCCCCAGGCCTTTGGCTGCCCCAACCCCAGGAGCCCTCCAGCCCTAAGAGCTGCCAGCTCCCCAAAATGTCAGGAGTGGAGTAGAAAAAGGAGACAAGGCACTGGAGACAAGGGTCCTACAGGGTCCTACAGCCAGGTGGCAGCTTCATTGACCTCTGACTCTCCCAGAGGCATTGGCTATTGCTGTCCCCCTTCCCTGCTCCCTGTGGCTGCAAAATGGGAACAAAACAGATTATTTGCAACTTGACTCAAACAGGGGACCTTTGATTATTTGCAAGAAAATAAGCTTCCCAAGCAGGCATCCGTACCCCAAATTCTTTACTATGGGTTTTCCATTTAGCAAATGGAAGAAGTCCAGGACCACCGAGTTCTCCCATTTATTTATTTAATTTATGCCTTTTCCTGGGCTCCTGAGTTATTCCTAGCTGCCAGGTAACGACAACAAAAACAGCCTGCCAAAGTTGCCACGCTCCCTTGCTGCCAAACAGCCTGGGATAGCTTATGAAAGGATTACTAAAATTGGAAAAGGCTCTTCAGGTCCAAACATACACACACACACACACACACACACACACACACACACACACACCAACACCAAGAGCAACAGCAGCAGCAGCATGGACTGAAAAGGAAGCAGAAGACACCCTCCATTATGCCGCTTAAAAGGCCTTTTCTTCCCTGTGCCCGTCCTGTCAACACCTTTCTCTTCTCAGAGCCCAGAAGGAGCCCGGGGCACCCCAGGCCGAAAGGAGTCTGGATCTGCCCTCAAGAGTCCCTTTGCCTGACAGTGAATTGGGAGGGGATGTGGGGGGCTGACTTGGGGCCCTTGGCCAGGGAGAAGTTTGGGGGGGGGGACCAAAGAACCTTTGGTTCTGCGTAGCGTGCCAAAGCAATCAGAGTCCTGCTCACCTTCCTCTCCATACTGGTCATAAACGGCCCGCTTCTTGGGGTCGCTCAGCACGTCGTAGGCCTCAGCGATTTCCTTGAACTTGTCCTCCGCGCGGGGGTCCTTGTTTTTATCCGGGTGGTATTTGAGGGCCATTTTGCGGTAGGCCTTCTTGATCTCATCCTCATTGGCTCCCGACTGGATCCCCAGGGCCTTGTAGTAGTCCTTCCCCATGGCCGAGACGGTGCCAGCCGTGGACTCCTTGTTCCTGCACCAGGGAGGGAGAGACCCAGATCATCGGAGAAGAGCCAGGAAGGGGCGGCACCGATGGAGTTGGCCTCTGAAGGGCACCACGTGACCCCTGCCCGGACAGCCTGCTCCTGCCCACAAAGAGGCGGGAAGGAGAAGCAGATGGGACCCTTGGAGCCCCTGCCGGCCATCGCCACTTCCAGGCAAGGCACCGCAGCAGGGGAAGCCTCCGAGCCGAAGAGGTTCTTTTCCCCAGACGAGACGCCAGCAGATTGCCTTAAAAGAACCCTTCCTCGATCGAGCAAGCCAGCGCTCAGCCCGGGAGTTCACCCAGGGACACGTTCCCAGCATGTACTGGCAGAGACAGCAGAGGACGGAGCTGTTAGACGGAGACATCTTGAGATGGTAGCAAGCTATTTTTAAAGAACTCCCAAACGAAAGCCCGCCACCGCAGGGAAGAACTGCCCGAGGGCAGAGCGCTAGGACTGGCAGCTGGCAATCCGAAGGGCAGGGTGGCTGCTGCCTGCTGGGGGCCAGTAAGCTCCAACCCTCTCCGGCCAAGCCAGCCCAGCCTGCTGGGAGGGGGGGTTGAGGCTCCCCTGGAGGCACTGCAGAGCCCCCAACCCACCTCTGGAGACAGTCAAGTCAAACAGATCTGCACCCTCAGCTCCAGAATGCCACTGAATCTCTCCCATCCTCTCATTGGGGCAACAAACCCCAGAAAGGGGCACCAAAAAAAAGCTCCCAGTGTTGAATTCACCGTTTTGCTGAATTTCAGAAATTTGAAAGGATAGGAAACCTCCACACACACACACACACACACATACAGTCACACAAACCCAAACAGTCAGGTCTGTTAGCCCACAGTACACCTTCCAATCCTGCTTTTGTCACTTCAGTAGAGGACCCATTTCACACACACACACACACACACAGACACACAGGTAGTATGCCCTGCTCTTCCACTCCAGCTTAGACTGGGATGATGGGTGCTGCAATCCAGCCCTTGTGGAGAGTGCCAACTTGAGGACCCCAGGCACAAAGGAAGTGAAGCCATTCTCTGTGGAGAGCCCAGTCCCACCAAGCCAGCCACACCAGCCCCCACTGCTGGCCCAGTTCCCCCCCCCCGCCGCCCCTGGTTGCTCCCCAGCTAAGCCCAGCATCCAGCGCAGCCTGGCGGGGCGCGGGGGGGGGGTGAATGCCACTCTCCGTATGCCACCTCTGCTCGGGGGAGGCAGCGAGTGACGCCAAAGCCATCACTGACACAGAAAGCAAGAATTCCCAAAGTTAATTGATGAGATCAGGAGCCGGAAATAATCTTCTGGCAGGTGGGGCGGCAGCAAAGGGTCCCAACACACACACACACACACACACACACAGGGGAGGGCTAGGGAGGGAAGAGTCCAGCTCCCGAATGGGGACAGGACAGATCCAACCGGGGCACAAAAGCGGCACCAATGAAGACGGGGCTGGGGGAGGGGGGGCACCTGAATGGCATCATTGGGCGTCCGGGGAAAAAAGGCGACCTGAACTGGGGCGCTCAGAAGTAGCCCCCGACCCAACCTGGCAGCGCCTCTCCTGCGTGGGGCTGCCGGACGTCAGGCGACGGGAAAGCTTACAGCCTCGCGGGTCGCCCGGCGCCCCCCGCCCCAATTGTGATCGGTCCCGATGCCCTGCCCGGACGACCCCCGGCGGTCCCGGGACAGCGGACGCAGAGGTGGCCGGGAAGGGGTGCCCGGCTCGCCCCCCCCCTCTCCGCCTGGAGCCCCGGGCCGCCCCAGCGCCAGCCTCGAAAGCGGCCGCTGGAAAAGGGGGGGGGGCGCTGAGACCTACCTCCCGCAACCCATGGGGAAGGGAAGCCTGCCGCCCCCGACCCCCATCTCCCCCGGCGGGGGCTCCGAGGGGTCCGCTGTCCGGGCAGGGCAGCCCGAGCGGGCGAGACGCGGGGCGCGGGGCTGGGACCCGCCGGGGCAGCGGCTGTCCGGACCGGCCGGGGAGCCTCCGCGTGGCGGCGAGTCGAGTGCCGGCGCCCTACCTCTCTAGGCGGCTCCAGAAAAGCAGGACGGCGGGCATGGCGGAGCAGCGGCGAGTGCGGCGCGGGGCTGGCGAGGAATGCCGAGCAGCGTATCCGCCGCCCCCGCCGCAGCATCCGAGCCCGCCCGCCCCGCCGGCACCTGCCGAGGAGGCGGCGCCGGCCCAGCCCAGCCCGGCCCCTCCGCCGCCGCCACTCACCGCCCGCTCGCCAGCCCGCCCGCGCGTAGCTTTCCGCCTCCGCCTTTCTCACCTCCTTCCTCGCCGCCGCCGCCGCCCGCTCGGCCGAGCCGGGGCAACTAGCGGACTGGGAGCCCACCCTCGCCTAGCAACGGCGCGCCAGCACCGCCCCCAGCGCGCTATTGGCTTCGGGCGCCGCCCGTCTCATCCGGGGCCCATTCCCTTCGGAGAAGAGGGGAAGGCCGAGCGGGCCACGCCCCCCCGCCCGCCTCGGCCCCCCGCCTCCCGAGACGGGCCGCGCTCCTCCGCTCCCATTGGTCTCGCCGCCGCCGATCCCGCCCATTCTCCGCTGGCATTGGTTTCTAGGAGACGGGGGCGAGCCGTCCGGCCCTTCCCTCTCCGCCCCCGGCCCGCGCGCGCTGCTCCGATTGGCTGCCGGCGCTCCGCTTGACTTCCGAAGGAAAGCCCGCGGGAGCCTTCTGGAAGCCCCGTGACGTCACAAAGGAGGGCGAGGGGCGGGTGCCACCTCCTCGGTGGGCGGGGTTTCGGGCCACGTGGAAGGGAGGCCTTGCGACCTGCCGGGTTCGTAAGAGGCGCCGATCCTTGTTTGCTTAACCTGAACCGTTTCTTTTTCCTTATTCACAAGCCAGGTTTGACCCGAGTTCTCCGACCAACCTGCCCCAAAGGACCGTTTCCAGCTGGAATCGCGGCGGTTCCTTCGGGGGCTTTCCTATGCAAACCACGATCCCTTCCACCCAAGTTCTCCGCTTCCCTGAGCCTCAAGCGCGAATCTCCGTCGGGACTCCCAGGTCCCCTCTCCGGGAGCCCTCGAGGCCGGCGCGGCTGCGACCCCCGCCTCTCCTTCCTCCCTCCAGAAGGCGTCCGTGCACCCGCGGACCGGCCCCGCGGCCAGAACGACCGCAGTTGTGCCTGCTGCCTTTCGGGGCACCTCCGAAGTGAAAGCCGGAAGGGTCTCCTAACCCTTTAGAGACCCCCGGGCCCCAGTTTTATGGGATGATAGGGTGGGCAGGGAGGCTTTTTGGAGAGCTCTGAAGGGGAAGATGCTTCGGGAGGGGGTCCGGCTGGGGTTAGACCCTGTCCGGTTTGGTTGTACTCCAGCGCTGATTACGTTTTATGCTGTTTCATGTGAGGTTTTTTTTAACACGGTCTTATTTCATTGATAGTGTTTGCCTTGTTTTCAGTGTTGGGCCACCCGGAGCCCCACCCCCTGTGTGAAATGGGTGGGTGGGTAAATTGAATGAATGTGTAAATCAGGGATCTTCAAACTTGGCCCTTTGATGACTTGGGGACTTCAACTCCCATAATTCCTCAGCCACCCTGCCTGGCTGAGGAATTCTGGGAGTTGAAGTCTGCAAGTCATAAAAGCTGGCTGAGGAATTCTGGGAGTTGAAGTCCGCAAGTCATAAAAGGGCCAGGTTTGAAGATCCCTGATCTAAATTCATACGCGAAGCCCACTTCATTAGACTGGTGGATATCAGTAATAGGGGGACGACCGGGAAGGTTCAGAAACTGACCACACAAGAAACATTTACACAACAAAAGGGAAAGGCCTCCAGGCAGTCCTCGACATACGACCACAATTGAGCCCCAAATTTTCATTGCTTAGTTAGTAAGTGAGTTTTCCTCTGTTTTATGACCTTACTTGGTGCGGTTGTTAAGCAAATCTCTGCAGTTGTTCAATGAATCGTGCGGTTGTTAAGTGAATCTGGCTTCTCGCATTAACTATGCTCAGTAGAAGCCAGCAGGGAGGGTTACAAAAGGTGATCACATGACCACCCTGGGACAGTACAACAGCCCTAAGTACATGCCAGTTGCCAAGCATCTGAATTTTGATCACGTGACCACAGAGATGCTGCAGTGGTTTTAAATGAAAAACAGGCATCGGTGACTTTTTTCAGTGCTATAGTAACTTCAAACGGTGACTGAACAAGTGATTGTAAGTTGAGAACTACCTCTTTTATTAACATGCTGCCCGAATCCTAGTGACACTGGGCAGTTTTTCTTCGATGCAGTAACAGGACAATTGTTCCATAAGGGGGAAAATGCAGGTAGTCCTTGACTTACAATGGTTGGTTTTGTGATTCACTCTGTTGTGTGAACAGAGCCAAAGCAGTGTTTACCCAGATTCTACTTTATGTAGAGGTATGTTGGGGTATGTTGAGAACGTTGTGTTATAATAAAACTGTTACTGGTGTGTCTTGAGTTTAAATAAATGTTTGACGTCAGCAGAAAAAAATGTCCTGTTTCACAGCTACTTGTGCTTCTCCCCCCCCCCCCAAAGTGTGATGGCACTAATCATTCTGACATTGCAAGGTGCTCCTTTATGACCCGGCCCTGATCAGCCTCTCCTCCTGCCCATAGTGATCATGTGTGAAGTCCCCCTGGGTTTGCAGGCAGATTCCTAGCTAGGTTTAACAGAAAGAACATAAAATTAAGAAAAGACTTTGATTAAGAAAGAGAATTAAGAAAGACTGGTCCACTCTGCATCTGAGCCTTCTGGGTAATTTTGCTGGATGGATGCCCTGCTCAGCCAGAGCTGCTATCTCTGTCAAGTCCTCCCCAATCAACAGGAAGTCAGGAAAGAGATAATTGCAGCTCCTATTCTATTCTATTCTATTCTATTTTCTATTCTATTTTCCATTCTATTCTATTCTATTTTTATTGTGGTCCACTCTGCATCTGAGCCTTCTCCTGGGTAATTTTGCTGAATGGATGCCCTGCTCAGCCAGAGCTGCTATCTCTGTCAAGTCCTCCCCAATCAACAGGAAATCAGGAAAGAAATAATTGCAGCTCCCCATCCGCTCCAGCTGAGCATGTGATTCAGAGGAACAGCTGGATCTGACTGCTCACCACCCATTCCCGTCTCACTAGGTGCCAATTTGGTGCCCGAAGCCACTGCTTCACAGAGGAACTATTTCTGGAGGAAGTGGACACCCCTCCCCCAAGATCTTAAACTCACATGATGTAGAGCAGGGAGAAGGGGGTGTATGTCCAACCTTGGCAACTTTAACCTTGTGGACTTCAATTCCCAGAATTCTGAGACTTGAAGTCCAGACAAATTGCCGGGTTGAGAAACGCTGCTCTGGATGCTTAAAACACATTGCTAGAAATAGTATTGTTTTGCCTCTCGTCCAGGAAGCTTCTTCAGTTCTAACTGACTGGTGGGGAATAGAAGGATTTAAAAATCTTTCATTCCCCACCAGTCAGTTAGAACTGAAGAAGCTTCAGTTTTCAAAGGAAAAAAGCAAGAAAGACCAGTTGCCTTTTGGAAAAAGCATCTTTGGGACAGCCATGACCTGGATGACGAAGAATTTCAATAGACCAGGGGTTCTCCATCCTTGGCAAGTTTAAGACTTATGGACTTCAACTCCCAGAATTCCTCAGCCAGCTGAGGACCCCTGCCATAGACGACAACAAGGAATGTTTGGCCAGAATCTACTTGATTCAATTCAGGTGTTACTCGATTTAGGACCATAATTGAGCTCACAATTTCTGATGTTAAGTGGGACATTTGTTAAGTGAGTTTTGCCTTATTTTACGACCTTACTTGCCACAGTTATTAAGTGAATCGCTACAGTTAATAAGAAACCCGGTTATTAAGTGAATCTGGCTTCCCCATTGACTTTGCTTGTCAGAAGATCACAAAAGGGGATCACATGACCTTGGGACACGGCATCGGCCCTAAGTATGAACCCGTTGCCAAGCATTTGAATTTTGATCCCATGATCATGGGGAGGCTGTGTAAGGACCCACCCCACTTTGCATCTTAAGAAGACAGAACTCTTGGAATAGCTCTTCCAACAGGAATCCTTTATTAAGAGAAAATGGTTGCAGGCATGCTAGACAGGACTTGGGGTTCAAGCTCTCCCATTCAAGGTTTTAAGGGGTTCCCCAGTAGTCCCACCCAATCAACCCCCCTTCCAGTGATAGTTTCAAGTATCACAATTCCATCCCCTTTCTTCTTCCGTCTGGATGGAGACTTCAGATAACTACATGAAAGGCAATTACTCTTCTTTGATATGTTAACGCTTAGAGGCCACAATAAACACACATTCAGTCCTTTGAAGTGTGCTGAAGGAAGTGAGGGCCATAAAGCCCCTTTGCTCTCCCCCTTTTCTCCCTCTTATGGCAGAATCCAGAGAAGGCAGAATTGGGAGTTTCTATGTTTGATAATTAAAGATGAAATATAATTGGATTCTGACATCCGGCCCCTCTTAACAATAAGAGAGATCCACCTGAAAGAAAACACAAGTAAAAATTTAGTTAGGCTTGTTAGGATACTCTGTGTGAAACTTCTTCAATAGCTTCGGGGCTCTGACGTGACGTTTATGGACCCACTCATTTTGTGAGGCAGGGAGGTGTTTCCAGGCAACTAGGTACTGAGTTGTTCCACGATATCTCCTAGAGTCAAGGATCTCTTTTATTTCGAAGTGTTGTTCCCCCTCCACCATGATTGGAGGTGGTGGGGGGGGGATTTTTGGCCGTAGAGGTGACTGATGCTCTCTTTTCAGCAAGCTGCAATGAAAAATTGGGTGTATTTGCCTGAGGTTTTTGGGTAATTCTAATTCTACTGTTACTGGATTTATGATCCTTTTAATTGGAAAAGGTCCTATATATTTTGGTCCAAGTTTTTTACAGGGCTGTAGGGACTTTAGGTATTTTGTAGATAAGTACACCATTTCTCCTATAATGAATGGTGTAGGCTCAACCCTTTTTTTATCGGCTTGTGCTTTGTATGCCCGCCTAGCTTCATCTAGTGATTTTCTGACTATTGGCCAGGTGTTTTGTAGGTTTTCCATCCATTCTTTCAGTGAAGGGATCGTTGGTTCTTTTGGGGTTAACTCTGGCATAGGGTTGAAACTTTGGCCGTTGGCTATTTGAAAAGGAGTGTAGCCTGTGCTGGAGTGGACTGCATTATTGTAGGCAACTTCTGCAAAAGGAAGTAAGTCCGTCCAATCACTCTGTTGGAAATTTAAAAAACATCTCAAATATTGCTCAAGTACCGACTGGCAGCGTTCCGCTTGTCCATCTCCTTGAGGGTGGTGGCTAGATGTCAATCCCTGAGTGGTCCCTAAGAGGGATAAAAATTCCTTCCAAAATGCAGACGTAAATTGCACTCCCCTATCAGAGATGATGCGTTGGGGTGCCCCGTGCAATCTGTAAATGTGCTGGATGAAAAGTTTTGCTAAGGCCTTTGCAGTGGGAATTTTT